ATGGCTACACAACAATAGTCAGTCTTCTGCTCCATGCCAGACAATCATTCGCAATCAGAGGGGCGACATACGCTTCGCAGAGGCGTTCTTGCCGCTGAAGTGCTTGGCGGCGTAACGGCCGAGGATGCCAGTGGGCTTAGCCTCGGGGGCGGCACCACGGGGGAGCTTCTCGTAGAAATTGACAACGCGCTGCATGCGAACGGCGTTGGGGTCCGCGCCAAGGGCCTGTTCGAGTCGTCATGTTAGCCGTCTATTCTGTGATTCATATTGTTCCTCGTTGTTGATGTTCTTGTTGTTGAAAAATATCCATAGCTCCGAGTAGCTCCGTCCATGTCGCTCCTCCGTATCCCGCGCCCGAACCTCCGAATTCGCCGGGTAACCTTTTCCCATCCAAACCTCGCATCCATCACAAGAGCAAGAAAAAGTGTAATCGGTGTTATAATCGTACCTTGGGAGAGGCGACCTAATTGCATCGACGTCAGTAAAGTTGTTCCGACAAGCTGCCGGTCGTCGGCCGGACAGAGGGAGAAGAGCGCACCTTGGGGGGAATGAGGGTCGAGAGACCACGGCGGGGGACGAAGCTCATGATGACTTTGGGGTATCGAAGAATCGGAAGGGTCGCTCGGCGCAAACGGTCAATTGAGCGGATCAATTGACTTTATCGATTTCTACGTGGGAGGGGGAGAGGCTGATGGCTATGGTAGTCGAGGGTGACGCTCCGTTTGCCGAAAGTGAGGTTTGAACGAAAAGCACTCGTTTCTTTCGGGTCAAGGTTCTTGCGGCGACCAATCAGCGCGCTCCAATCCGGGCCACCCTCCAAGCAAGGCCCTTCCGCCTTGTCCAGCGCCGTACCATCAACCACCACCACCATAATCGCATTTCCCAGACCACTCAATTCGTCCCACGACGACAATTGAAGGGAAGCCAACACCCATCTCCCACACGTCGCCATGGCATCCCTCCGCGCCTACAACGCAGCTCGCCTGCTGCGGAGCGCCGCTCCCTTCCGGGCTTCCGTCTCCGCGCCCGTAACCGCTCGCCGATTCGAGAGCCAGCTCACCACCGGCACCACGACACAGCAGCCCGCCGCCGTCCCGCCCTCGACCGAGCAGAACGAGCCCGACTACAGCATCGCCGCCGACAAGGCCACCTCGTAAGGACGAACCCGGGGGAGCTTTTACGCATCATTGCAATTGGGTTGGGGCGAATAAAACAGAGTGCTAATTGGGTTGTGTTCTCGCAGGACCTTCACCCCGACGCCCAAGAAGCTCCAAAACGGAAGCGAAGACGTCCCCTTCATCCAAGCCGCTGTCATCTCCGGTGCCCCCATGGAGCTCCAGGCTCGCACAGTCCGGTACGCAAAGCTTCCATCCCAAAGAACGACGAGACAAGAAAGAAAGGAACAGAACTAACGACGGAAACCTTCCCACAGCATCTACCAGGAATCTAAGCCCGCAACGCAATCAGGAAACTGGCAGGGCCACCACTGGCGCATGGACTGGGACATCCTCCCCAAGGGCCACCGCTGGGAGAACCCGCTCATGGGCTGGCAGTCGTCGGCCGACATGATGCAGGGCACCAAGCTCAACTTCAAGTCAAAGGAGGACGCCATCCACTTTGCCGAGAAGCAGGGCTACGAGTACTTTGTCCAGGAGCCGCAGTCGAGGCGGATCAAGCCCAAGGCGTACGCCAACAACTTTTTGTACTCGCCCAAGAAGCTTAAGCACATTCGGACCAAATAGAGAGAGACAGAGTGGGAGCGATATTGTTGTACGGAGTATCAGTTGTATATAAAACTTTCCAAAGACCGTTCGAGCTGGAAACTTGGTGAGAAGAACGGTTGTGGTAAAGAAAACAATAAAAAATTGAAACATAATGGCAGTTCAACATGAACTTTGATATTCGAGCTGAGTTCCTCGATGAACATACGGGAAACTTGGTGTGCTGAGCTGTAATCGGACTTTCTCTAACGGTGATTGGCTCGAAAGTCTCCACACATGCCGTAAACCTCCATGCACCCTGCCTTGCGGTACGGATAGATTCCGGGTACGATGGGCTGCGAGGGTGGTCGCGAGAGGCCAAAGATGGTAGGGTCATGCTTCTCACAGAATGTATCACAAGAGGGATTATGTAGAGTACGCAATTGCCATGATGGCCTCTATTCGTTTATCGGTCATCTGTTGACCCGATGTCATGAACCATTAAAAGATGTATGTACCATAATCTCATTCAGTCGTGACTGAATGCTTGAACGCCTCCCGAAATTTGCCAATTCTGGCCCATATCCCAAAGTCAAACCCTGCTTGCTCATAACGCCATGCGCTGTTTCCTAGCCATCATGTTTCTCTTCATAATATTCCACGATCAACTCAACCAAATGGCGGTCTTCGGCGTTGTCAGCGACATGGGCCACGCCATCGTGGTAACTCTCCGCTCCCAGGATGCGATTCTATTCCTCGACCTGGGAGGTCAACGGTCTGTAAGGGAACCAATCAAGATTCTCCTTGTCGCTGCCGTAGCCGTCAACACTGTTGCTCTACGAGAGCATCATTGGGTCGTGCCCGTCACTCTCGTCCCCGTTCAATCCGAGGCCGATCCTCTCAGGGAGGGGCTTCTTCTCTGCTCTCGCAGCAGACTCAGCCCAAGCCCTCATCTTGACCAGCTGTCGGATCGCGGCTTCCCTACGCTCCGACTGACGCTGTAAGATAGCCTTGTTGACGTCATCTGCAACATCCCGTCTCAGGTCTGGATGCAAGATGGCTGCCAACTGCGGCTCGAGATCGTTGTGCGGGAACACTAGCAGCGCCATCGTCTCTTCCAAGTCTTTGAGGAAGCGCGAGTCGGTCGGCGCGCGAGGTCCCAGATGGTTCGTGGCGAATGACAAGGCGGGATTAATATCCCCGCCAGGTGTATTCGTACACGCCCGAATGAGCTCCACAAGTTGGAGACGAAGCAGCGCAAAGTGCAACGTTGGATCGCGGTCCAGGATCTACGTGACTTGTTAGAACATGTGTACAAAGCAGAAACATGCTGACAAGTAGCGTATAGGGCGAAAGCTCATTAAAAAGTGGTTGTTCCTCATCAAAGTGTCCCGAAGGTGCTATGAGTGGTGCATGATAACTCGATGTCTAATCACTGCGATTGGGGTGTAATGTTGCAAAGAGCAAACAACTAACCTCTGAGTCAAAGTCATTCAGGGCCTCGATGGCGTACTGAATGCTTCCAGTGTGAATGGACTTTTGGATCTGCTGGCGGACCTTGATTGTCTCGTCGACTTGGTGTGGTTGAAGGTTGGCTTCCTTGCTGAATTTTGCGGCAGCATTAGGGTAACCTTCCATCGTCAAGTAATCGAGGATCAGGGCGTTGATGTCACTGTGAGTCCATGTTAGTACATATGTCCTCTCGGCTGTATGTCCAAACAAAGTGGAAATGTGCAAAGCAGCAAGTGTCAGGGTTATTTTATATCGAGTTCTCCGCATGGTAATTGCTAGGAGAGATTCCCATTTGATAGTTGATCATCATGTGAGCTGGGAGGGGGGGCGGAAAGCACCAGACGTAGCCTCGGAGCTAGCGCCGGGCTAAGACGTGGGAGATGAAGAGAAGAGAGAAAGGCTTACCTCTTGGGCGACTTGACGTCCTGCACACGCCTCTCGAAGGCATGCTTCATGGGTGTAGCAGTCGACGCAGACGAAGTCTGGATGACATCTTAGCTAGCTGCCAACGACAACCAAAACGGCGTGGCCAGCATGGAGGCACACCGGCACACTGGCACACAAGGGAGCTCAACGGACCATGATTCTCTCCAACGTCTCCCGCACGAGACGCGCAGCAGCTCTATTCCAAACTGCTATGGCTGTTGGGTCGTTGATGTCCGGCAGTCCTGACATGCGATGGGAAGTGCGCAAATGCAGGGAAAGCAAGGCAGGATCAGACAGGCTCTGGGCTGGGCCGTCGTCACATTTGAGTGGCCAGTCGAGCTCCCGTTCGTTTTGTTGTGCGAAGGAAGTCTTTGAAAGAAAAGATGCTGAGGAAGAAATGGAATTGGGTGTGGAAGAAGGAAGAAACGTCAGAACAAAGAGAAGGAGGCTGGAGCGGAGCTTTATTCAGTTCCAGAGTTTGCGGCTGCAGAGGGCCAATCGCAGGATCAGCCGGACCACCTGGCGTGGGGCAGCCATGATTAGATAATCCGAGGCACATGCCCTCCCTTCTTCAATCAATGGAAGGTAGGCAGGTTCCTCACTTTCAAGGTAAGGCAGGTAAGGCGCTGAGAGCAGCCACGCAGCCTGGGGGGCCACAACTGGGGTTGAACAGGGCCAAAAACACAGGGCGCGACCCACCACAAGCACAAGACAGGCAGGTACCAGAGCTAATACCACCTCACTGCCCTTACCTGTCACGCCTGTACAATAAGGACCTGGGGTGAGCAACCATGCATTGCGCCTGAGGGCTGCTGTACTGCTGTACTGCTGTACTGCTGTACTGCGTAACTTAGGTAAGGTACCTTAGAGCTGCGGTCATCTGGACCCTGTGTATTTGTGCGTCCACCTGTGTGAGCCAGCCCGCCCTTGGATCCTTCACCTCGACACGAGATGTACCGTTGGAGAACCAGACTTGATGCTTTGAGGAAAGATAGCACGCGAGCACAGCCTCTCTCTTTTCATCAGGCTGTTTTTACTTGTCTCTAACATCTCCAAGATTGACAACTCGCCTTCCATATAGAAAACAGCATAAGGCAACTTCCCCTCCCGTGGCTCCCGCCTGATCAGCAGCTTTGTGGCAGGTACCTTCCATTCGGTTACCTTCAACATCAGATCTAGCCCGGCCAGCTCCACCATCCACCGGGCTTAGGTTGTCAAAGTCAAGCATCCGTCCCCCTCAGCGCTTATCTTTGGGGACTGGACCCTGGAAGTCGCCTTTTAGCCAGTGTTTTCATTTTTATATCCTCAGACTTCATCTTTGCTTCTTCCCCCCTTCCATTGCGAAGGGAGCAAACATCAAAGCCGTCAACACCTGCTGTCTTTGTTCCTCAGGTCGTTGGTTATTCCGTCCGCCTGTCTATCTTACTTCGCTGCAGAATCCGAGGACAAAGCTGTAGCTACCCGATAAACCACCACCAGCCTGCCCCGCGCATCGACGTCGGCGACCTCCGCCTCTCAACTCAAATAATGGCAGACAACCACAGCGGCACCGAGTCTCATGTGACGATCCAGCGGCGGACTCACTACTCACCACCGTGGGCAGATGTCAGCATCATTGGCATTGCTGGCAGTTCCGGCTCAGGAAAGTCGACTCTGTCGCATGCCATTGTGAGGAAGCTGAATCTGCCCTGGGTGGTGATTTTGTCCATGGTATGTGTGCATTTACCCCGCCAACCGGCGGCTTGCGGCGATGGCCCCTCCTCTGATTCGATGGGAACATAGGACTCTTTCTACAACCCTCTGAGTCCTGAGGAGTCAAAGAGGGCTTTTGACAACGACTTTGACTTTGACGCGCCAGATGTAAGGTATATGCCGGTATTACTGCTGGCATGCATGTTGACCAAATTCAGGCAATTGACTTTAATGTACTTGTGCAATGTTTGCGCGATCTGAAGGCCGGGTAAGTCTTGTAACATTTTCGCTTTCCAATTTGCTTCATGAGACTCTTCTTCTAGTCTGAAGGCGAACATTTCAGACATCAATGTTTAACTTCATGATAATAATTGATCTTAGAAAACGGGCTGAAATTCCCATTTACTCCTTCTCTAAGCATCAAAGGCTGGACAACACCACGACCATCTACTCACCTCACGTCATCATCCTGGAGGGAATCTTTGCCCTCCATGACCCCCGTATTATTGATCTTCTGGATATGAGGGTAATTCAATCCCATCAAATAGAACTGCGATCAACTTCTGACAGTTGCTCAGATATTCTGCGAGGCGGATGCCGATACGTGTTTGTCACGGAGAGGTAAGTCGCAGGCAGCCTGGGACATGATGTAATTGGCACACGGCTGACCTTGCAACGTAAAGTGTTGAGAGACGTTAAGGAGCGTGGTCGCGATGTAGATGGAATCATGAAGCAGTGGTTCAAGTTTGTGAAACCAAACTTTGAAAAAGTAAAGAGCTCCATCATCAAATCGTATTGGACTTTCCTAACATGTCTGTGTCTAGTTCGTCGAGCCGCAGCGCAAAGTGGCAGGTAAACTAGCCTAACCGCTCCGTTGCTTTGTAGAGACTGACCACAAATAGACATCATCGTGCCGAGAGGTATCGAGAACCGCGTTGCCATGGGTAAGTAAATCATAATGTCCGTACAGCTTCATAACTAATGCCTAGGCTAGCCATGGTTGTTCAGTACATTGAGCGCAAGTTGATCGAAAAGTCAACCCACCACCGGGCAGCACTTACACAGTTGGAGTTGGCGGCTGCTAGTGACCCTCTGTCCGACAGAGTCGTGATTTTGGACCAGTCACCACAACTGAGAGGCATGAGCACCATCATTCAGGATATCGACACCTCTGCGGAAGACTTTATATTCTACTTTGACCGCCTCGCGTGTCTTCTGATCGAGCAGTGAGTAGTTTGCTTGTGCGGCGACCGTCTGAATAACGAGCTAACAACCACAGGGCACTCAACAATGTGCAGTTCAGAGAAAAGACCATTGCGACGCCCCAGGGTTACAAGTACAACGGACTTCAAGCTACGGGCGATGTAAGTGCGGTGCTTGTCCTTCGTGGCGGTGCCGCCTTTGAGACGGCCTTGAAGAGGGTCGTCCCCGACATGCGGACGGGCAGAATCCTCATCCAGTCCAACGTACGGACGGGAGAGCCCGAGCTGCATTATCTCAAGCTTCCGGATAACATTGACTCCCACGAGTCGGTCTTGTTGATCGACACGCAGATGGCCAGCGGAGGTGCCGCACTCATGGCCGTGCAAGTCCTCGTGGACCACGGCGTCGCTCAGGACAAGATCGTGCTGGCGTGCTATGCTGCCGGAAGGCTGGGTGTGCACCGGCTTGCAAAGGTGTTCCCTGGTATCACCATTGTTCTGTGCAACATGCTTGCGGATATTGAAGACCGCTGGGTTGAGAAGAAGTACTTCCGATGCTAGCCGTAGGCATATATATACTTGTATAACCCGGCCGAGTTGCGCCGAGCCTACGTCTGTAGCAAAATCGATGATTGCTCAAGTGGCAACACGAAAGCCTATTGCAAGAAAAGTGCATCGTAATGCCATGGAGTAAGGCTGCTTGATTCATGATAATTGAGGGTCTCCAAGGGCTAGAGCCCGTGCCTCTGGAAAAGGCCGCATATTCGCCTGCCAGACAGCCTGCGAGATCCATTGCCTCGCATATATGTCTTTCGCGGCTTCGCCTTGTTCGCACTCTGGAACTCTGGACGGATCCCGGATTCACGGCTGTGATTCTCGTCATTGGCTCCAAATGCGGCTACAAATTGGCCGAACGAGACACCGAGGAGTGGACATGGTAGTGGAGACTTACGGCTCCCGCGGCAGGGGGGTATTTGGACGCCGCTGACTGAGATCACAGTTTCTCGCTAGACGAGTATTCAGATTTCAGGCCGAGAAAGGACCCTTTTTTTTTTAGGTACTCTTTAAAAGGATCTTATCAGCTCGGACGACCGTGAGATCGCGGCGCCGACAACGGAACTGAGATGTTGGGACGAAAGTCCGAGATTCATTGTCGGTGACGGCGATATGCGGTCGGCTTCTGCTTTTTGGTAAAGAATTTTTCTTTTTTTTCTTCGACTGCTCGCGTGACGCATCAGAGAACTCATCCTCAAGGTTAGTAAGGTACAGTAGTATCCGTAGACAAGGCGAGTAAGGCACCTTGGAAAATATTCTGGCCTATCTGGTGTAATTGCATGGGAGGCAACCTTCGGCTTAATCGAATAATGACGTACTTGCTGGAGCTGTCGGCACAAGGCACGTTCTCCCGTCTACGTAGCTACGTAGTAGGTGTAAGGTACCTTAGCTTCCTCGGATTTGACGGTTCTGGCGCGATCAGTACCTTAGTACAAGCATCATTACGCATACGTCCAGGGAGCTATGCCCGCCAGCCCCTAGGAACCTTTTCATTTTCGTGACCATTACGACCTTGATTTTCTCTTTCTTGGAAAAATCCAACAACCTCAACCCTCTGCCTGGCTATCTTGGTCTTTTGCCTCGTTTGCAATTGATACATCGCGACACATCCCTAGCGCTCTCTGCTTGCTCCCATTCACTCGTTTCGACATGACATCTCTATACTGCTAGATCTATCTACCTTTACTCTATCACGACGTCAGACGAAACAAACACCAGACTAATCTGCGATAATTAAATGCCTCCCACCACATCCGCGTTGAGGCGCATACCTCGCGCCGTTTCTCACACATCACCCATCAGCTTACTCAAACCTACGCCGATATGCAGGCAACAAGTCGCTGCCCTTGCGCAAAGGCGCGCCTTTATTAGCCCTCCTCCCCAGCGATCCCGGACAACACCTCCTACCACACCTCTCGCCAACTCCTTCTTCTACGCCCACGGCCTGCCCAAAGGCACCACCGTCCGATCCGTCTCCGGCGCACCGACGCCGACTCCTACCCCGAAACAAAGGTCACGGCTCCTCCGCTTCGCGTACGCCAGCGCCGCATGGCTCGGCGGCGGCATCATCTTCGTTGGCCTCGGCGTGGTTGGCTTCTTCATCTACGATGCTTCTACTTACAAGGAACACCCGGATCAGAATGAAATTGAGGTATCCGAGCTGGCACTGAGCCCCAAGCGAGGCGGTCCAAAGAACCTACCCATCGCCGAGGTGCTGATTGATGACCTGGACAACGAACACATGAAGAGCGCAAAGGAGAAGCCCAAGCTTGTTATTCTCGGCGGCGGATGGGGCGGAGTGGCCCTGCTCAAAGAGCTCAACCCCGACGAATACCACGTTACCGTTGTTTCCCCGACAAACTACTTCCTGTTCACGCCCATGCTGCCATCTGCCACTGTTGGAACTCTGGAACTGAGATCACTGGTCGAACCCGTCCGCCGAATCCTCGCCCGCGTTCACGGTCACTTTATCCGCGCCAAGGCCGAGGACGTCGAGTTCTCCCACAAGCTGATTGAGTGCTCTCAACCCGACGCCTTTGGTAACGAAACCCGATTCTACGTCCCCTACGATAAGCTGGTCATCGCCGTTGGATCTACCACGAACCCCCACGGCGTCAAGGGACTGGAGAACGCCCACTTCCTCAAGGATATCAGCGATGCGCGCAAGGTTAGAAACCAAGTCATGCACAACCTCGAGCAAGCCTGCCTGCCGACGACCGCCGACGAGGAGCGCAAGCGCCTTTTGTCCTTTGTCGTTAGCGGTGGCGGTCCCACGGGTGTCGAGTTCGCGGCCGAGCTGTTTGACATGCTCAACGAAGACCTGACGCTTCACTTCCCCAAGCTCCTCCGCAACGAGATCTCCGTCCACCTGATTCAGAGCCGCAGCCACATCCTCAACACCTACGACGAGACCCTCTCCAAGTACGCGGAGGAGCACTTCGCCCGCGACCAGGTTGACATTCTCACAAATTCCCGCGTCAAGGAGGTCCACCCGGACAAGATCACCTTCACCCAAAAGCAGCCCGACGGATCCCTCCTCACCAAGGAACTTCCCATGGGTTTCTGCCTCTGGTCAACGGGCGTCGCCCAAGCCGACCTCTGCAAGCGTCTCTCCTCCAAGCTCGGCCCCTCGCAGACGAACCGCCACGCACTCGAAACGGACACCCACCTCCGCCTAAATGGAACACCCCTCGGCGACGTCTACGCCATCGGCGACTGCTCGACAGTCCAAAACAACGTGGCCGACCACATCATCACCTTCTGCCGCGGCCTGGCCTTCAAGCACGGCAAGGACCCCGAGACCCTCGAGCTCCACTTCAGCGACTGGTGCGAGGTCGCCAACGACGTGAAGCGCCGCTTCCCCCAGGCCGTCGGCCACCTCAAGCGTCTCGACAAACTCTTTGAGCAGTTCGACAAAGACCAGTCCGGCACCCTCGGCTTCGGCGAGCTCAGGGAGCTCCTCAAGCAGATCGACTCCAAGCTCACATCCCTCCCCGCCACGGCGCAGCGCGCCCACCAACAGGGCCAGTACCTCGCGCACAAGTTCAACAAGATGGCGCGCACGTCGGACGGGCTGAAGGCCAACATGGTGCTCGACGGCGATATCGACTCGGTGGTGTACAAGGCGTTTGAGTACCGCCACCTCGGCAGCCTCGCGTACATTGGCAACTCGGCCGTCTTTGACTGGGGCCAGGGGTGGAATTTCGCGGGTGGTTTGTGGGCTGTGTATATGTGGCGGTCCGTCTACTTTGCGCAGAGCGTCAGCTTGAGGACGCGGATTCTGCTTGCCATGGATTGGGCCAAGCGCGGTCTCTTTGGAAGAGGTATGTTTTTCCCCCTCGTTGTCACATTCCCTGTCGTTTGCTTGAGGAGCGCTGGATAGCTAACAATTTGTTTTTTTCTACAGATTTGATGAGCTACTAGAAAGCAATGACGCGGTTTCGTTGCAAAGAATGATTGATTTCTTTTCCCTTTTGTTAGCATACCCTGCCGGAGTACGAGGTACTGAAATGCATATCTTGCGAGAGATGGATGCATAGGTATAGAAGTTACAGAACACAGACAGAAAAAAAGGCACAAAGCAGAGATACGTAGAGCGGGTCTCTAGATAATTTCACATTGTTCAAACAAATTACACGTGTTTTCGACCGCGTGATGCTTTTCATGTCATCTTGGTCTTCGGAGACGGATTTGTACCCAGCTATCGCAACATGAGTCTCGTAATAGCCCATGTATACCTTACAGAAAGATCTTTCATCGGCGATTATGTTGGACATACAAACCCCCAGTCCTACACAAAATACAGCGAAAATGCTAGGCATTCATTCATCTCTTTGCAGTGAAAGTAGTTGAAATAAAATTTTCATAAATCGAATAATAGTATAGCAAAAGAATAACAAATCGCAACGCCTGGCCCCCTGATGCTTGAAAGCTGCTAAAGCGGATATAAGACCATGTACATGTTACAGAAGATTTCCAACTTTTTCATCTCTCTTTTGTGCAAATCCCATGATTTTGTAAATCTCAAATTCATCCTCATCCTCGCACCGAATATCAGATCTCGTCATGAAACCGTCAGTACTCGAAAGCACTGAACAAGCTTATTCCTCATCAGACTCTTCCTCGGGAACCTATTATTACTGTTAGTGATTGCGATCAAAATGCTAGAAGTGACCTTAGGAATCTCGACTTACCCCTTCGTGGAAATCCCGACCCTCCTTGGTGCCCTTAATAACACCAACGCGAATGCAGAAGTCGCCGAATCTCTCGCCAGCCTCCCTCTCAGTCGCGTACCTCTTGAGCAGCGGCTTCATGATGGCCAAGATCTCGTCCTCCTTGATACTCTGGCGGTACAACTTGTTCAGTCTCTGGCCGTGGTATCCACCGCCGAGGTACATGTTGTACGCGCCGTACGCCTTTCCGACAAAGGCAACCTCGGCAAGCCAGGGACGCGCGCAACCGTTGGGGCAACCCGTCATACGCATGACGATCGAGTCCTGGCGCAGACCGTTCTCCTCAAGGCAGTCCTCGAGCTTGGTGATCAGCACGGGCAGGTAGCGCTCTGACTCAGCCATGGCGAGACCGCAGGTGGGGAAGGCAACACAGGCGGACGAGCTGAGGCGCATGCCAGAGAAGTGGACGTTGTCGAGCTTGTACTTCTTCATTAGGTCCTTGATGGAGTCAAGGTCCTCGTCGGCGACGTTGCTGAGGATCAAGTGCTGGTTACCCGTGAGGCGGAACTCGCCCTTGTGCACCTTGGCGATCTCACGGAGACCAGTCTTCATCTGGAACTCGGGGGTATCCTCGATGCGACCGTTCTCAATGAAGAAGGTGAAGTGGTTGAGTCCCATCTCGTCCTTTTGCCAGCCGAACGTGTCAACGTTGGACTTGAACTCGAAGGGCTTCTCCTTTTCGAACTTCTGTCCCCAGAGCTCCTCGACCTTGCCGCGGAAGACGTCGACGCCCATGTCATCGATGGTGTACTTGAGACGGGCGTGCTTGCGGTTCTTGCGGTCACCGTGGTCGCGCTGGACGAGCATGATCTTCTCGCAAGCAATGTGGACCTGGTCCGTCTTGACGAAGCCGAACATGCGACCGATCTGGGGGTACGTCTTCTTGTTGTTGTGCGTGGCACCCATACCACCGCCGGCAATCAGGTTGAAACCCTCGAGGTTACCGTCCTTGCCCTTAATGGCAATGAGACCAATGTCGTGGGCGTAGACGTCGGTATCGTTGTGGGGAGGGATGGCGATGGTGATCTTGAACTTTCTGGGCAGGTAGGTGGGTCCGTAGAGAGGCTCGAAGTCCTGCACCGCATCACCGGCGATCTGGGTCTTGGTGTCGTTCTCGTCCGCCAGCCAGATCTCGTGGTAGGCGGTGGTCGAAGGCAGCAGGTGGTCGCTGATCTTCTTGGAGCTGGCCCAGACCTCCCTGTGGTACTTGGACTGGGTGGGCAGAGAACTGCACATGACGTTACGGTTGACATCACCGCAGGCGGCAATGGTGGTCATGAGCGCTCTGTTGATGGCCTGCATTGCGGGCCTAAGCTTGCCCTTGACAACACCGTGGAACTGGAAGGTCTGACGGGTGGTAAGCTTCATGGTCTCGTTACCGAGCTCGTTGGCGATGTCGTCCATCTGCACCCACTGCAAGGGGGTAGAGATACCACCGGGCAGACGGCAACGGATCATGAAGGAGTAGGCGGGCTCCAAGCCCATGGCCTTGCGCTCATCTCTGACGTCACGGTCGTCCTGCATGTAGGTACCGTGGAACTTGGTAAGCTGCTGGTCAGCGGCAGAGATGGCAGCAGTCGAGGGGTCGTTGAGACCCTCGACAATGGTACCACGGAGGAAGTTGGAGGCAATCTTGATGTCCTCGTTGGTGATGGGAGCAGGCTCTTCGGGAAGACCATCGACGTTGTCGACGCCCAGGGCGCGCCAGATCTTGGGCTCCCACTCCTGGTAGCCAGTCTGGTATCCATCGGGGTCCTGGTCGTCACCAAGACCGACATCGGCAAGTCTCTTGCCACCAAGGTTGGACAGAACACGGTCAAGGTCCTTTGCAGGCTTGTTGTAGTAGATCTTGTCCTCCTTGCGGGGCCAGTAGTGACGATCACCAAGACCGAAGACGGAGTAGTTGACGTTGGCGAGGTCGAGCTCGGTGTTGTCCTTGAGGGCAGTCCAGAGAGCGTGACCGTTCTGGGGGAACTCTCCCTGTCCGGCGGTGGAGGTCACGAAGATGATGTTCTCCTCGGAAGAAAGGTCCTCGAGGGGGTAGTCCTCCATGACGAAGACCTTGGTCTTGAGGCCGCGAGCCTTACCACGGTTACCGAGACGCTTGGCAACGTTGGTAGCGTTACCGTTGTCAGAAGCGTACAGCACGGTCAGGGGAGCGCCAAAGAGACCCTCAAGAAGCTGATCGTAGGCATCCTTGGCCTTGCGCTTCTGCTGAGCCCGGACCTCAGAGCCAAAATCCTGCGACAGGTTGGCGGCGAAGACGGGGTCACGCTGCATGATCTGGGTGAGCTGGTTGTCACGGTCCAAGAAGGCCTTGAGCTCGCTCTTGATGCGCTCAGAGTCGAGGGTGAAGTTGGGCTCGCCCTTGGCCTCGTTGGCGGGGTTCCAGCGGTATAGGGGCCAGTAGCCGACGTCGATCGCCTTCTTTGTCTCCTGGAGAACGGTGAGGGGAGAGTCGGTCTCGCCAAAGTAGGGGAGGTAGGCCAAGACGACGGAGGGACCGTTGTGCTGATCAGCCTCGAGCATGGCCTGCAGAACCTGGGTGTAGGAGCCGTAGACGGCGGTGGAGGCGACATAGGCGTTACCAAAGTTCATGGCGTACAGACCAATGTCCTTCTTGCGACGGTTGGCATCGGCAGCGGCACGCTCCGAGTAAGGAGTCGAGTCGATGATGAGCATGTTGACGTTCTCACCAGAGGCAAGGATGTGGTGCACACCAGAGTTACCGAGATCGTAGGCCCAGGCGTCGGATCCGACAAGCCACAGGGACTCCTTGCGGAACAGGCGCTTGCTGGACAGCAGGTTACGGGCAATGGAAGAGCCATCAGTCTCAAGGCGGGGGATCAGGTCGTCGGCGATCTCGTTGGCCTTCTTGGAGTCGGCCTCGTTGGCTGCCCAGCGAGCGAGCCAGCTCTTGGGAGAATCCGTCACGAACTGGTTGCTGTTGGCAGCCTCTTTGACCTCGTTGACGAAGCGCACGCGACGCTCCTTGCGAGCCAAGAGGGAACCGAAGCCGAACTCGGGGCTGGCCTGGATGGAGGAGTTGATGCCGGCGTTGCTAGCCTTGAGGGCGTTGGCAATGTAGGCTCTCTGACCAAAGAGCTGGTCGAGAATCTTGGTGTACGAGTTCTCGACCTGGGGCTTCTCAAGACCGTATTCGAGAACCTCTTGGGGGACCTCCTTGCGGCCGATCTCAAGGTTCTGAACAGGGGACTCGGAAGTCAGGTTCTGAAGAACGCCACGGAGAGCCTGTATGACGGTCTTGGGGTCAATGTAGCCAAGCTGGTAGCCGACAACGGTCTGAACACCACCAGGGCCGCTCTTCACACTGGTGAGAACATCGATGAGGACGGGACCCCACTTTGTGGTCTTGCGGTGGACCTGCTCAAGGACGGCGATGCGTTTCACAGACTTGGGCAGAGCCTCGATGAGAGAGGAGCTGAGCCATGGGCGGTACAGTCTGGGGGTGAGGATGCCGACCTTGGAGAAGTCACCTCCACGGCGGGCCTGGTCAATCACATCACCAAAGTAGTAGGCTCCGGAGCCGAAGACGAAGAGGCAGTTCTCTGCATTCTTGGGACCGGCATAGAAGAAGGCCTGGTATTCACGGCCGGTGATCCTCTTAATTTGAGCCCAGATGCCGTTGGCATACTTAAGGATATCCTCAGATGAGACGACGGGGAGGGACGACTCGATCGTGGTGGCGTTGGAGGAGACGACAGAGGGTGGGCTGTCGGTGACGCTGTGCTCGGCGCTGGACTGGACCGAGGCCCTGGATGACTCGAGCTTGGAGTGCACGGACGATGCGAGTTCGGAAGAGCTCAGACCACTAATGGGAGAGGAGCCGGTCGGCGGCATGTCGGATCGGTCAGAGGCCACCGGCAGTCGGCCATCATCGGCATAGATACCGACAACCGACGCGGCGGAGCCGTTGGACGGCTGCTGGAAGCGCCTCGCGGCGTCAACGTCGAGAATCTGGCGCACAACTTCGGGGTCCTCTGCCTCAATGGCAGCATCGTCGTCACTGCTCGATGAGGCGAAGAAGTGAACAACACCCTTGCCGGAGCGGAGGGCGAGAGCGTGTGCCGTCAGTGCCATATCCTGAGCCTCCTGGAGAGACTCTGACTGCAGGAAAGTCCATCCCGAGTTGCGGATAGCTGTGATGGCGGAGAAGTCGGGGAAGCCAGCGGGCTGGAGGGCGACGTGAAGGACGACGGGGTAGTTTGCCAACTTGTAGAGGTGGGAGATGGCGGGCAGGAGGACAGTAGAAGAGGTCGTTACGGCGACGAGCTTGCCGGCGCGGGTGGGCGCAAAGACGGAGAGGAGGGGGTCGGCATTGTGCCTTACGTGTTGAACCTGGAGACAGTAACAGTTAGTTTCCAAGTCGAAAGATCGCGGAGAGGACGAATCAAGTGGTGGCTCACCTCTGTGACTGAAGACTTTGCGACGAGGCTCTTGTCGTTGCGAGCGACGTAGCGCTTAAGGTGGGATGAGAACTCCGAGTCCTTAGCCAGCGAAGGCTGGACGGAGACGACGACATCGCTAGAGAGGTATGCGATTCTCGCAACTGTAGAGAGGGCGTGTTAGCACAAGCCAGCATTGTCATCGTTCTCATCGCAAGTTGCAACTGCCACTATCCCGCGCCTCTGGTCGGCGTCGTCCACCATCCCTCTGCCTCTTTCTCTGGGTGCTGCCGTTGCCCGTCACGGGTGGGTTGCTGGGGGACACTGCACCGCTGGGATGCGACAAATAGCAGAGCTCTGATTGGCCCAATTCCAACATTGTCGGAGCTTCGCTGTAGTTACAGCGGGCACACGCGCTGAAGGATGACGGCCGCCGCAGAGTGCGAGACCAGGGGGGCAGCAGCAGCAGCAGCAGCAGCCCAAAGCCTAGGAATCCCAAGAATTGAAAAGAGCAACAACTGCTTACCAGCTTCTCCAGGCGTCTGGATTTGACCTCTTGTCGGCGCCATTGTCGATATGTGTATGTGCGTGTTTGGAGGAGGTTTCGAGGGCGAATTCGAACGGGGGGTATCGTATAGTGGCCGGTCTCGAAACTCTTTTCGCTGCCGTTTGCAGTGTACAGTTCCGGATTCCTCTTGTGCTGTCTGTTTGGCTTCCTCTGGACCAGGGACCAAGAATGGACAGAATACCAACAAGTAGTCGACTACAGCAGCAACGACTAACACAAATCAACCCGTAGAAAGGTTTGTCGGAAACGGGCGACGTGGGATGCAATGGCAAAGGGGAGGCGGAGGGAGGAACAGGGTGAGAGCGAAAGTGAGAGTGTGAGAGAGGAGGAAGATGGTGGTGTAAGTCAAGGTAATAAGAGGTCTAAAAGGGAAGATCGATGGATAACGAGCTGATAAAAAAAAAAAAGTCCAAGGCGCCCCAGGAAGTTGCGAAACAGCTCCGATGGTTCTTTCTGCTTTTGGAATCAACAGAAAGTGACCTGGCAAGTACCCAATTCCTGTTCCTTCCCTTGCTTGGTTTCGTCGTCTTCAGTCAGGCAAGAGCAGCTGGATGGCGGGTTGCACCTGCTGTCTACGCGGTACTGCTGGCGTGCTTGGGGGGGCGCTGTGCCCACCGAGAAATTTCGCCCCGCAGAAAACAATGAATTTTGTCGACATCAGGGTCGATTGCGTGATCGGCTAGCGCAGCGTCTCCCCAGTCCATTCGCCAGTTGCCATGCCGCACTGCTCCCATTGCGCCGCGGGTTGGCTTTCCTTGGGGCAATGCTGCTGCACTTGGTGTGTGTACATTGCTCAGAAAAGGTACATCGGGATTCTTCCAGGCGGCAATCAAGTACCTGAAGTTGGAGGGAAAGAGCCGGGACTTCAGCGAGTGCCGTTGCCTCTGTGGTCCTGTCCTGAATGCTGTATTATTCATCACGAGAATCGTTGACGGCTACGACCATGTTAGAACTGCCTTATGTAAAATTGCAAAGAAAGATGCTAGGTAGCCAGACTCTGCTCTAGACTCTTAGCTCATCTGCTTTGCCCAATCAGCCACTCAACAACGCTCTAACAAATTCCATCTCAAATGGCTGGAATCAGTGGATGGCACTTCTTGGCTACTACAGTATGAACAGGGGCAGCGAATCTGGACCACCCATGCCCGAATGCCGAAAAAGGCCGTTGTCGGCCGGTAAGTCTTTCCTCCCAAATACTCACACATAATGGTCTCCAAATCTCTTAACCAGAGGCAGAGGGCAGAAGCAGAGGCAGAGGCTCGGATTCGTAGCCGTGCCTCATCCCATCCATCTGGAGGCGAGTCAACTAGTGGAAACTATTCCGTAGACTGACATGCTGCTCCATATCCCGTTCAACTGCCCCACCATCTCCATCCCCCTCCCCCGGAGATTCTTTCGGATTACAAATGGTAGACTCTGTATTTGCAGTTTCCGTCTGTCACTCTCACACAGTTCTCTCAATGCCCGATACCCACCAATCACCCAATGATCCCTTTGATGTCAAGATCTTGTACTACTGTACTGCTAAGTATGCTTATTATATGTATGGCTTGTACCGTATGCTCTCCCCAAATTCGGGGTTTGGAACCAGAGGACGTTCGTTCTCAGTCCCACTTTAAATCCCCCATCGTGAACCGGGCACCAACCGAATGAATGCCCTCGTGACGAACCATCTCTCCCAATGACCCAAACGCCGATTCACCTTCCGTGATTGAGGGTCATCAATGTTGTTGTACAATATTCCCCATCGCGCCCCGACATGCATTTCGCTCATGAATCCCAGATCCACCTCTTTTTCGGCGCGTGGCATTCAAATCCACATCACATAGAAAATCTCAAATGATGCCATCGCCCAATGATACCACCGCCCGATGGCATCATCGACTTGCCGTCCCGGCGGTATCCACTCCAAGCGGTCAGCCTGCCGCTGCCGCCCGACATGCCGCACCGACATCCATCTCTTGCCGCTTCGATACCTACCGGTACCGTCGGTAGCTCTCTGAATCCGCCCTTCCGCGATACTTAAAGACTTAAACTCCGGTGTGCCGGAATTTGGCGCTCACAGCGCTCGCCCACTCCTCCTGAGGCCTCTCGCGAAGCCAGTACCCGCGACCGAGAGCGAGCATCACGCGCCCGATACGGCCGCGGGACCCCTCGCCGCCCGGCTCGCCCTGCGAGAAAGGTCCGTCGACGCCGCCCTTCTTGCCGGCGCCGCTGCTGCGGCCTTCCTCCTCCCAGCCCATGTCCGCTGCGTTGTACCGCTGCAGCACCTGCTGCGCAAACGACATGACGACAAGCGCAAAGTAAACGCGTACCAGCGTAACGGAGCAAATCAGCCCCAAGCTCATCCAAGACTCCTGGGGCCCGATGTGCTTCGTCGTGCCGGGCACGTCGGGAACCACGGGCGCCCCGTTGGCGAGGGCCGTCTCCGCAATCTCCGCCGCTGCTGCGGGACCGGCCGCAGCCGGGGTGGTGCTGCCTGCCGGGTGCTTATCCAGGGCGCTGCTGTTGAGGTACCAGTTCACAGCGAAGAAGGTCGTGTAGGCGACGTTGAGGATGGTGTCGACAATGTAGAGCCAGGCGAGGCTGAGCGTCTCAAAGGGACTCTGCTTGCGGATATGGGGCATGAACATGGCCAGCAGGACGACGACGCCCAGTGAGTAGAGGTACATTGACAGCTGCGTCACGGAGAGCTCGTAGCCCGTGAGGATGGCGAGCAGGCCGTAGAGACCGGTGAGCCTGTTGAAGAGGAGGATGAGGGAGATGACCTCAGCGCCTGTCTGGAGGCCGATGCATCCTAGAAAGGTCTGTCGCACACATAAAACGTGACCACCATGTTAGCCGGCCGCCCAGTGATTCGTCGTTTGAAAGAATGAACATGATATTGTGTAACTGTTGGGCGCAGTTGGTTGGGGGAGACGAGGTTGTGTTACACGCTTACCTTTGGGAGCGGTAACCGCATGTTGAATCTTGAAAGTGCCATCCTTTCCGTCTGTCTGCCTATCTATCTATTCGTCCGCTTTGGTGATGTCTGTTTGGTGTTTATGTACGGACACAGAAAAAGGGTATCCGTAGGTATTGCGTCAGAAAAGAAAGGGGTCCTGAGAGCTCAGGTAAATTCGTAAAAGCCGTCACAAGAACCTGAGGTGGGAAGCTTTTGGGGAAGCGTCGCAAAAGTTGAGCCTAACAAGAGGCCCCGTCACTTTTAACCAAAGCGGCAGCGCCGGATGACAATTGACATGGGCCAGCCGCCAAAGCAAATAAAGAGCGGAAAGACCCTGCGTTCGCACCTTTCTAAAATTCTCGATGACATGATGGGCCCCACCCGATCCGTCATAGCGTCACGCCCCGGGGTTTTCATTGAGTCCGCGCCGCTGCTCTCCATCACCCGCGTCTGCAGCCGTTCTCTCTGGGCAATCTGCAGCAACATTGGCTGTGAATGCACAGCTTTCTATACGCGGTAAGGTAGGTATCCGAATCCGAAAAGTGGATGGACCTGGGAATTCGATGCCACGGATTGGCGGGCCATTCCTACGCTGGCACCACACATGTTTAACGGACCCCGGCACTCGGTGACAGCCCACCGTAGCATCACGGACACCAGCCATCGTGAGAGTCCCGTGCCATTTCGGGCGGTGAGCACCTTGGATAACTCATTCGCCAGCTGGCTTCCAATATATGGATATTGCCAAAGCTCACAGATGATTAAGTACACTTGCATTTCATGTAGACAGAGATCGTTGGGGAAGAAGAGAAAAAAGAGCCATTAAATGTAGGTATGTACTAACGACCGTGGAGTATAGCCCGTTATTATACAAACTGTAACTGATGCTGAAAATCCCCATTTGCACGCTATGCTTAAGATGTCCTGCCCCGCCAGTCATGTCGCAACGTAACGTAACGGCAACTCCAACTCAGCCCCGCGTCGTCCGTCACGGCTCGCCTCGGGAATTTTCTACTCCAGAGTCGTTGTCTTTTTTGTTTTGCTTTGTCTCCTTGAAGAAACTCGTCTAGCACGCGCATCCCTCTTGCGACGATTGGGCGGGGGTCGTCTTCACATCGATCACTGCGTTCAAGTTAGCATAAACCACCCTGCTTTCTATGAACCAAATCTCAATGAGAGGGGAATACGCACTCTGGCTTGAAGCCTGCGCGGCAGCATCCGTTCCCTCCATACCCGGAAGAGCCTGCGCTATTCTCTTGAACAGCGTCTTGACATTGTGTCCCAGCTTCGCGCTAGTCTCGACGAACATGAGGTTGTTCTTCTTCGCCTCCTCCTCGCCCTGCTGCGTCGTCACTTCGCGCTTGTCGTTCAAATCCGTCTTGTTGCCCACGAGGACAATGATGACGTCGTTTCCTCTCTCGGCGCGCACGTCGTCGATCCACTTCTTGGTGTTTTGGAAGGATTTCGCATCTTCAAGTTGCCTTCAAGTTAGTCATGGGCTCCCTCTTCTGTGCCTTCCCCATGCAGTTCCACGTACTTGAAATGTCGTAGACGACTACCGCGACGCTGGAATCGCGAATGTACGAGGGAATCAGACTGCGGAAACGTTCCTGTCCGGCGGTATCCCAAAGCTGTAATCTCACTGTCCGGTCCTCAAGGTACATGGTCTGCAACGCATTAGACGGTGGTTCCTCGGACCCCCTTCGAAAACGTAGTGGTGGCTTGCCTTGGAGAGGAAGTCGATTCCAATAGTCGCCTGGTACATGTTGTCGAACGAATCGTACATGAATCGAGTGATGAGTGAAGTTTTCCCCACTGCAAACGCAAAGAACAAATTAGCCCAGGTTCTTTCTCGTCACATCAGAGACAACAGAATGCAGAAACATACCGCTCTGCTCGCCCAAAAAGACAAGCCTGGGAGTGTCATTGCGTTAGTTTTGTCATGCAATTGTCTGAATAGGAACATTTCGCAATCGGCGCAAATCGTACTTGAACTTCTTGAGGGGGTTGTTGTATGACCCGCCTGCGCCGGACGCCATGTTTGCGGTTTTTTTATCAAAGGGGAGCTTCCGAAGGGTGGTATCGGGGGTTTTGCCAGTCGGGCTACAGAACCAACACGTTGGTTCGATGCAAGGGAGTCGTCGAGTCGGCAAATAAAACCAAGCAGAAAAGCCGAGCGCTCTGCTGGACCAAAGGACGAGATCCGACGAGAGGGCGAAATTGGGCTGGCCGAGAGGAGGAGGGGGTGAGGGTTATAGATCGCGGGTCGTGGAAATTGAGCAAGCTGGACAAGTAAAAGGAGGTCAACCTGTCCGCCTTTAGGCGCATTACCACGCCCCCGTCATCCATTGAGGTGGGCTTAGAGGAGGCCAGCAAAGACGGGGAAAGTCACGTGCTGATAATCGATAAGTATGACCCCATATCCGATAAGACAAAAAAAAAAAGACCCTTGCTCGAAAATTTCTGGACGGTCCAGGCCCCGCCGTCTCAGCTGGTGCAGAGTGCAGATTCGACGACCAGCAAATGGGCAAGGCGCAAAGATCGACTTTTCGACAACAGAAACACCCCCGGTGATTCTCCCCATCTTCTTTGCACATACCTATCCGATCCAACCACTCTAAGCCCGAAGTGCAGTTCGGTCAGCCGTCCAACATGCCCGTTCTTAAGCCCCTCTCGGGTGACGGCGAAGCGCCGCAGCAACGCAAACAGCCTTCAAGAAAGGGAAAGAAGGCGTGGAGGAAGAACGTCGACGTCTCTGAGGTGCAAGAAGGTCTCGATGAGTTGAACACACAGATTATCGCCGGGTATGTAACCCTCTTCCCCATGAGCTTCCCCCTTCTGAAAACACCCAATTGGCACATAGATTAGACAACTAACCAAATATCTATAGTGGCGTCGTCGCCGAAAAGGATTCGGCAGACCTCTTCACCCTCGATACGGTCGGCAAAGTCGAAAAGCGCCCCAAGCCGAAGAAGACGCTCAAGTCCGACGAGATCCTTGCCGCTCGCTCCTCCGTTCCCGCCGTCTCCTCCCGCAAGCAGAAGCGCGACGCCGAAACCGCCCTCTCAAAGACCTCGGACGGCCTCCTCCCCGTCAAGCGCCTGCGCACCGATTGGGTCTCCCACAAGGAACTGAGCCGCCTCCGCCGCGTCGCGGACGGCCACCAGGAGGAATCCACCGCCCTAGTACCCCAGGAAGCGACCTACGATCTCTGGGGCGCCGCGCCCTCTGCCTCCAAGGCCGTAGCAGCAGCAAGCAAGACCAGCAAAGACAACTTCCTCCCCGCCGAACAAAAAGCCAAGCCCCCCAAGACCCTCAAACACGCCCCCATCTCCCTCACAGCCAGCGGCCGCCAGCTTCCCGCCGTCGTCAAGCCCACGGGCGGATACTCCTACAACCCGACCTTTGACGACTACGCCGACCGACTCGAAGAAGAGGGCGCCCGCGCCGTCGCCGCCGAAGAAGCCCGCCTCGCCGCCGAGGAAGCCGACCGCATCAAGCGCGAGGCCGTCGCCAAGTCCGCCGCCGAGGCCGACGCCGCGGAAGCGCGCGCGCAGCTGTCCGAATGGGACGAGGATTCCGCGTGGGAAGGATTCGAGAGCGGCGTCGAGGGCGATGACAAGCCCACGACCAAGAGACCCCAGCGCAAGACGCCGCAGCAGAGGAACAGGATCAAGCGCCGCAAGGAGGCGGAGCGCGAGGCCAAGCACCAGCTCGCGCTAAAGAAGAAGGCGGCGCAGGCAGAGCGGATCAAGGAGATAGCTGCCGAGATTGCGGGCCGCGACGCCTCCAAGAGCGCGTTGGCGCTGGCTAAAGAGGTGGGCGAGGGGAGCGACGCCGACGACGACGACGAGGATATCGTGGACGAGGGGCGGCTGCGGAGGAGACAGCTCGGCAAGATGAAGTTGCCCGAGAAGGATTTGGAGCTGGTCCTACCCGATGAGCTGCAGGATTCGCTGCGGTTGTTGAGGCCTGAGGGTAACCTGCTCAAGGACCGGTACCGTAGTCTGCTTGTCCGCGGTAAGGTGGAGTCGAGGAGACATATCCCGTTCAAGAAGCAGGCGAGGGCGAAGCTTACGGAGAAGTGGTCTTACAAGGACTTCAGGATCTAGAAAATCGGGTTTTACTGTTAGAGGGTATCAGAATAATCATCAAAAGCGTGCATTTTGTGGCTTTCACTTCGTCTGGGAGACTCATTTACGGCAGTGTCTTTGTGATGCCCTGTCATTGCCTCAGGCTGGTTATGAAAGGAGATAACTGCCCGGATCTGAGATTATTGTCATGTTAAATCATCATTATGGAGCGTTCGCGGATAGCCGCTCAAAAACTTGTGACAAGCCTCTCAACAATTTCGAGTCATCAGCTTCAAGAAGCAGCAGTAACGGAAAACAATGTCCCGGTGACGGGTCCTGGTTCTTCCCGCCGACGACCGACTCGTCCTTCTCTCCTATAGCACGGAGACCAACTTGGAGCACCAAATGAGCCATCGTCCACTCACAAGGAAACACCACGACATCTCCTTCACCCGATGACGTCCCCTCACAAGTGAGACTTGCGAAAAGCTGCTGGTGACGAACGAGTTGTAACCCTGCGTTGCTCACACCGCCACAAATGGTGGATGGATCTCCGCCTGGTGTTGGCCAGAGAGTTGTAATGAGCGACATGCCGTGGTGGTAGTGCAGCGAGCCCCAGGAGAGTAAATTTTCTTGAAGGGCGTGACTCCATGGTATTGAAGATGGTATTGAACATGAAGAAGAAATTGAGGTTGTGATCTCTTTCCATCTCGCAAACCATGAGTCGAGACTTTGGCGATAAGTCTCGCACATTTCTCGAAGGTGTTGAGCCTCGTGGATGACTGAAGTGTTGCGCTCGCGAGACAGAATGGTGCTGTGGACCTGCATTTTGAGGAGGGATACTTGGTATGAAGAGATTGAGATCTCATCTTGGAGGCTGTTGCCGCTCTTTTCTACGAGCTCCTATGACATGGTGTCAGATACAGATGGAATGAGGTGTGTGTTGGAGACGTACGCGACGGAGATCGTCTCCGATGACTAGTAGACTTGGTCGACCAAAAGCAATCGAAACATGACTTCATAGAACCATCAGCCTCTTGTTCTATGAGTCTTAATGCTCGAGTGAGTGAACATACCTCTCCAAAGTGTACAAAGTCCTAGTAAGCATGCAAAATACCCCATGGTCCTCATCCTCCTCCATCGACGGCCGATGGGACAAGTCGAGAAACAGACGGATGGCGAAGCCTAGGTGTCGCCAGACATCACCTGCGCTGGGTTCGAGGAGTGTGTAGACGCAGATGAGGAGGGTTCGTTGAAATAAACTGAGGTTGTCGGCGCGGGAGGCGTGGGCACAAGTCACTGGGAGGGAGACTATGGCGTTTTGGAAGTGATGCTCTGCGAGGGCATAGAGCGAGGGTGTAGATTTGCTGCCGATTTGGGCGCCGAGGGCGATTATTAGGTTGAAGAGAGGGGTATTGTGAGGGCGTGGAGGAGTAGCGTTTGGGTGGTAGTATGCGTTCAGGTTGTTGTTGAGGATTTGGGGTTGGAAGATTGGGAAGAAGGTGTTTATTGAGCGGCTGAAGAGGTTGAAGATGGGAGTAGCTAGGCTTTCTGGTAAAGGTTGGAAGGAGATGAGGCTTTGAAAAGTGAGAATTGTGTCCCTTGTAGCAGCGGGTAGGGCCGACGGTACTTCGTAGCCTGGTTTGTGTTGAAGCCGATCTCGCAGGCAACCGAGAGAGGACCAAGGGCCAAAGAATACGGTGCTAGGTAAAGAGATAGATGATGCGGCATCAGAAAGCAGAGGAGCGCCCCCTTGGAGAGGCATGAATAGGGGATTCCCGGTAGCTGGTGGTTGTTGCGTATTGTCCAACGACCGTGAAGGTGATGGTATCTGCTTTGCCAGAACCTTCAGCTCCTCGATGAGAAGTTGCACACGTCGGAGTGGAATGTTTGCCTTCAGAATCGGGTCAAAAATGAAGCACTCTCGCGAGGTCCTCGCGCATTCCTTGCAAGCAGGGAGTTGACGCTGACACTTTGTCCGTCTATCCCTACAAAAGCTGCAAGAGGGGATTGCATCTAGGATGACATCTAGTTCCTTTTCCAAGTCGCTTGAATTGTTCTCACTGGGTGTTTGCGCAAGCTCAGCCCTCGTTCCGATAGGGTCTCGGGAAGGCGAAGAGGCGGTCTGCCCGCCGCCGGGGGGAAGCGAGAAGCAGCTTTGGTTGGTGACAAAGTCTTGGTCTATGAAGTCTGTCCACCATTGTTCGTCACTCAGAAAGTCTTTGCCCACGTTTTCTGGTTCGGAAGGAGGCGGCGCGGGTTTCTTTGGAGGCGGAAAGGGGATATTTCGGTGGCTGATGCTGTGGATTCGCCGCTGGGTCACTAGACAGTCGATTTCTTCCAGGACTTGCATGTCGTAGTGGCTTCCGTTATGGCCGAGTGGGTTGCGTAGGTTGGTGTCGATGATTTCGTTGATGTAGCTTGCTGTGTCTGATAGGGGTGGCCATCTGCTCGAGAGGTTGGTCTGTGATTTTGTGTCAGTGGCTTTTTTTGGGATGAATCCTCTTTTCGGGTTTCCTGCTAGTGGACTGGACGTACGAGGAGTGCTGAGATATTATTCAACGAGGTGGTGGCAATATCTGCAAGTGAGGCACGCTGTAACTTTGTAGCGTGGTTTCGAAGAGCGTAAAGCAAGAGCATGCCAGCTTGGAATATTCTGTTGCCGATTTCAAATACCATGACAATACCGCCAGACTCGGTTGCTTTCGCATCCAGTGATATCAGCTCGATGGCAGCCTTCACCACGGATACTACAGATGATTCGGAAACCACGATGTTACGGGAGCAAGGCCGGTGTAACATGATTTGGCATTGGAGGCAATTAGCAACCAGCGATGAGTGCGAGTTTCCTTGCGTCGATACTCCTTGAGAGAGACGTTGTGTCCTGAGATCCATTTGCTGGACCCAGTCTTCATGTGAGCCTGAATGACTAGGAACAGGGCGATCGAAGAATTGGGTTGCCTGGATCTCGGACTTCATGATGCAGACTTGGAGGTCGAGGAGGAATTGCCGCTCTTTTGGGTGACTAACTCGCCCCAGGCCGGCACCCTCAGACAAGTCAGAAACCTCACCGCCGCCGTAGGGCAGCCGGGTTGTGATGTGCTCGTCACTCAAGGCGACTGGACATCCTCCAGAGATGGACACGATCCTGTCGAGCTGATAGACCTTTATGGGCGTGTGTAAGCAACAAGCCTGGCCTAAATTCTCACTGATCATGCACTTACAACCCAGAAGATGCGTCGACGCTGCTCTGCGTGTGCTGCATCTCTAAATATGCGTGATCCTGGTTCTTGATGCAACCCTAGACTTACGGCCATGCGCATAGCCTCTCCGGTGAGATACCATAGATTAGACGTCTGAGGTAGCAACAGCGCAAGCTGTATGAACAATGTCAGACACTGCAAAGCCGGAATGGAGCTTTCTTGCAGCAACTCGTCGACGTACTTCATGGCGTCCGCGTGTAGAGCCTCACTAAGAGCCGCGACTTTACGAAAGTCTTGGTTCTTGGAGTTGAGGGCACTAATTGCCATGATCATCGAGATGACGAATCGAGAAAGGGCATTTAGAACACGGGAAGGCCCCGGTTCAGCGCTGTTGATGCATGTGTGGTTCAAGTGGTAGGTTAGCTCTGTCTCCGAGAAACAGGGGAATCGCGGGAGGATCTCTTCGGCGTAGTTTTTGAATAGCCGTTCTATCACATTGAGAGGAACGTATTGTGAGTTGAAGCTTGAGAACTGAGTTGCGTATGCTTGGCCTGCTGTCCGGGGGTTGACTTCGTGATAGATCCCGCGAATTGGGATTTTTAGTGGGGGACGTTCAGAGGGATAGAAGAGTTTCGACTTATGCGGAAGTATCGCTGAGCTTTGGAAGAGACTGCGAGAAAAATGACTTGTGGTTGAGATGGAGGCTAGTTGAGCGGCGAGATCGTGAGCGTTGTCTGCTTCGCAGATTTCAATGGAGGAGCTATGGTGATATGCATCTGCTGAGACGAAATTCAGTCGCTGCAACTCGGCCAAGCGATGTTCTAGGTACTGCAGAAGACTACCAGCGGGTAAAATTAGTTGCCATTTCATTATTGCCAAATCCATGAGACAACACAACTTGCCTGCGAGGAACTTCGATAGACTTTTGCCGGTTGATTGCGGTGCACTCAGCTCTGGCCGCAACGCATCTTAGACATCTCGGCGTGCCTCTGTCGCACTGAATGAGACCATCAGTCAAGGGGGCAATAACCCAAGGAGAATTTACTAACTTCATACCTTTTGCTTGAGTCGATGGCACCGGGCGCAGGCTGGCGTAGACCTGTGCCTTTTGCTTCTCAGGTCGGAACCCATCTTCAACCAGCCGCCGTGATCAATTTGAGGATTGCCTACGACACTAACATTTAGAAAGACTGAACAAGCATCAGGAAGTAACTTGGTCGCTGTCAACTAGTGGATCTGCTTCTTTACACGCACACGAAATCAGAGATGACTCTGTTATTGTTGATGTTAGAACGCCTGGGGATGAGGGGGTTAGTTGGTTCGCACGTGATTGGCTGCTCTTCATCCCCACCAACTAGACTCGGAGATGAATCCATCTTGGCCTCCTAGATGAATCCAGATTCACTCTCATACTGAATGCTATTAAGATTTGATGCATACTATTTTATCGAGATCAATTTCTCCATGTAACGTGAGAATCTCGTTTGTGTTGGTGAACTGACCCCCTCAAGTTGATACGCCTTCACTTATGTTTTCGAAGCTTACATCGTAAAGCGCGTCCGCTCAAAAATGGAACACAACTCGTACAGATATAGGATCAAACCTGTCGAGAGATCCGGAGTTTTCAGAATCTACTGAGGAAAAGCCTAGGCCCATAGCTTGATATCCATAGAGTTGTCGGTAAGACTTGCTGTGTATAATGACGACATGTGAGTCCGCGACCAGGTATAAGTACCCCACCGCCGGTCCACATCAAGATATCGATATTCATCATTCTATCATCTACATCGTCCTTATATCTACTTTCTACGCTCAAACCTGGGTTAAACTTGCCTCAAGTCATTAAACGACAATATGCCGTCCCAAGCTGTCCAGCGCATCAGCATTCGCTGGTTGCCCGAGCCTGCCTATGAAGATACCGATACGATCGCGCTCAACGTAGGAAGGTACTTTATAGACTTGCGGATTACTAAAGGAACTCAAACCATTCAATGGAGCCGCGCGGGAGAGAGAATGTCTTTGGAAACTGAGCCCCGTACGTAGTGTGTTCATCTTACCGGATATTCTACTTGAAGGCTCGATCATCCAAGATCATTTTTTGATGTATTGACTGAGTTGCAGCTACATTCCGATGGACACATATCGTCGACTCCTTGAACTTGACCGTACCTGACGATGCCCATCTCGAGAAGCTGCCCAATGGCGATGACCTCGAAATCGGTACTACACCTTGTCCTCACAAGAATGGTGTTCCGACCGACTACGAAGAAGTCTGGAGAGATGTTACGAAATGTAACACGGACAATATGCCTTCCTGGATTATCCAGAGCACAGACGGAAGAACTTTCATTGGCAAAGTCGGGGTCATATATCTCGCCATCCATAAGGCGTCAGATGAAGAATTTGCCGCACGACGAGAAGACCTCAAGCCCCAACATGGAATTTGGGAGTGCAAATTTGAGTCTGAGAACGAAGGGAAAATGCCAAAAGCGTCCGCGGTGGTGGCTTTGATAGACAAGAAAGCGCAAAAGTCGGTGGATGGAGATCTGATCAGCATTGATGGTGTGGATTTCGTATTCCGGGGTGTTAGCCAAGACTAAGGATGTGTATATCTAGGGCCGGAATTGAACTCTGTAATCAAAATTCTCGTTCGAGCAAGTTAGAAACTCCCTAGAATGAAGAGACATTATGATTTCCGGCCGTGATGATCTCCCATCGCCAATCGCACTTGCCTTAGACTCAAACGCGAAGGCAGTCTGATCAAAGACTTGATCGATCAGTATGATTCCATGACGAATGATGCCAGCTCCAAGTCTCTCTTGATGTCAAGACTAGCGTAGCAGGATGAGCGGTAATTCGCTAGCGTCGGCTTTTCGCGAAGTCCCACTTACCCACAACCATTATCTACAGTGGGATGGGGGTTGGGGGCTTTATCTCCATGGGGAACCCAAGTGATTCCCCCGCAGATAGGATCGGCGACATCCCCGTCTGCATTCTGTAACCTATGATAACGCACTCCGCTGACGGCGGTCGAGATTGTCACCTGGCAGTGACAGTATGTCATTGAGATAGCGCCTTGCCGGACATGAGCATGGAAGTGGATCTTGAACGAGCAATCCTACAGGCTCAACAGAGTCTTGTATCTTGAATGTTACCTTGCTCTCCGAGATTGCTGCCCCTCGGTGGTTATCTAATATCTGGCGTTTCCTAGTTTCGATATAAGATGTTGTTGCTGGAGCTTCCTCGCTGAAAGATTTTGGCTCTGAAAGTTCCTTTCATGTAGTCGATAACGTGCTTGGCAACAGCGAGATAACATAAGACAACATTTATCTCGACTCAGGACTTCTGGTGCTGTGGTACTTCTCCTTCTATATTAGCCCAGTGGCAATAGCCACGGAAAATCACCTGCGATGCCACCGTACACGAGTACATCTTTGGAGGGCTCATCCGAGAAAATGGAGCCGGCGACGAACGGCGATGTATTCCCCGAACAAAACAACAAAACGGAGTGCATTGACATCGATGATAATCGGGAGGTCTTCCATGAGGAGGAATACAGGGCTTTAGGTTGGTAAGTCATGTTATGATCAAAGTCGGAATTTCACTTTCGAAGGCACAGATCACTGACACTGTGCATCATCTCAGGAAACGCACTGGCATCATTTTGATGAAGCTATGCTTTGCCACTGGTGTATTGACAATTCCATCGGCCTTCAGCTCAGTTGGTTACGGCCCGGGAATTGCTCTGCTCGTGGGTTGGGGAACACTGGCAACTTGTGCGCCTTCATTTCAACATTGTCTCCAACTCCCGTCTCTTGCATCATCTTACTAATCGTACGTGCCGGAAGACTATGCGTACATCATGTACGCCTTTAGAATGAGATACGCTGGAGTTCACAGCATTGCTGATGCTGCGGCGCTGATGGGCGGACCTATTGCCCGAGAGATTGCTGGTGGTCTCTTCTTGTTAACTTGGATGTAAGACGAAAAATAGTCTGATGAGCGACCGATTGTTGCTCTCTAATGCTGACACCCAACAAAGTCTCGCATCCGGATCTGGATTCATTGGTTTGGCGGAAGGGTTCAAAACACTTTCTAATCGCCATGTCTGCAACATTGCGTGGACGCTCATCGCAGCCACATGCACCGCGATCGTGTCTAGCATTCCCACTTTGGGGAGATTGTCGATCCTAGCTTGGATAGGGTTTGCTTCTATTTTCACGGCTGTCTTCATTGTTGTGTGAGTTTGTCAACTCTTCTCAATGATCGTCAACTTGGAGCTTTATCGAATTGCTGACAATATTCCGCCCTAAGGGTTGGCGTGACGCAAGTCGACCGGCCTGCGGCAGCGCCACAGACCGGACCATATGACATGGAAGTACACGTCGTAGGAGCCCCTGGATTCGTCCCAGGAGTTGTCGCTGCCGTCAACCTTTTTAGTAAGTTGTGCTACTGTGATGCATTGATTGAATTGACATCTGGGATACGAGACTAATAGTCGTGAAGCTGGTTATGGATCTACACCAACCTTCATGCCCGTGATTGCGGAGATGAGGAGCCCAAGATCTTTCACCAAATCTCTATTCTCGTCTCAAGTGTTTCTAGCCTCATGTTATGTCGCATTCGGTACGGTTGTCTACATGTGAGTAAACCAAATAGCTGGGGGACAGTCTAATGGTGTTGCAAATCAATGGAGAAGACTTGGCTGACGAAACAACACGTATAGGTATTGCGGAAAGTACGTTGCGAGTCCATCTCTGGGCTCTGCTGGCGGGACATTGGAGAAGATAGCGTATGGTGTTTCGATTCCTGGATTCATTATGACAACAACTCTTTGGGTTCATCTTGCAGCCAAATCCGTAAGAAATTAATCTTGTCCTATCAGTAAGGGTAACTACTGAGAAATGGTATACTAGCTTCTCGTACGCATTCTTCGCAACTCTGTACATCTACAAAGCAAGACCGTCATTCATTGGGTGACTTGGCTGTAAGCTCCGACCGCTTTTACAGAACAGACGTTCATCACACTGACATCGGCAAACTGCAGTGGCTCGACGATAGGCATTAGCGCGTTGGCTTTTATAATCGCTGAAGCGGTCCCATTCTTTAGCTATCTGGTTGGGCTCATTGGTTCTATTTGCTGCATGCCTACTTGTGTAAGTGCAAGCCGATCTACCAGACTTCAGGGCAAGTCTCGATGTGACTGTTCACTAACGACTCGCGCCACATGAAAGCTGATCATACCAGCATTCATGGGCCTCTACATGGACTGGGAGAAAAAATGCTCTAGTAAAGTTAAGATGTCTCTCTGTGCCCTGCACATTTTTACGATAGTCCTAGGATCATTCATGACCGTTGTGGGCACTTACACAACAATCCAAAGCATCATCGATGCCTACAATGATGGAAGGGTAGGATCAGCTTTCACTTGCTAGAATGATGGGCGGGAGCGACGACGAGGAAAATTAGATATTGTGGCTGCCAAATGCCCTACAATAAGATTGGGATGGCTTGACGACCAGCCTGAAAGGATTTTGCCCATAACTGTCAGTCTCAACAACATTTGACGCAGACTCAATTGAACTGCATCGAGGGGAAACATACCGTGATAGATCCAGCCTCAAACATAATTCGACACTAATAAATAGGGTTGTGTCTACATAAATGTCCACTCATAAGAAGTGAAGGACTTGAAATAAGATTGATGTATCATGTCAGGAAAATTCATTCATGAAGTGTGCGGAATCACTCTGAACATTGTAGGAATGGTTCTCAAAGTTGAATCAAATCCGGAACTCCCCGGTCCGACTTTCCCAAGACAACGGCCGCGGACTTTTTGCCCAATGGTCTGATTGAATTTGCTGACCAGAAAATATTGGGTGAAAGACTTCAGCCTTCTTCCGGTGTTGAACATGTTGTGATGGGTGCAAAAATGCCCCTGCAGCTGTGTGGTCCCGAGCCTAGCGAAATTCGCGTATGACATTTCACGATGTTAATTTGCAACCAACAGACAACCGGATCACCTACCCGCCCCTCTTCAACACTGAGTCATTGCAATCATTGTGTGCAGGTATCGGTCCCCAAAGCAAAAGTCTGTCACATGCATAGTATTTGCCTTTTCGGCCGATAGCTTTTGTTCATCCAGATTTTCCTACTGCAAGGGCCCATGCGGTAAGAAGGCGTCGATGAGGGCACCATCCGCTGAAGATGAGTCTAGCCCAGAACACTCAACTGAGATGTTACATTGCCGCCTGAAATCTTGAGCATATCTGAATCTCTATTCGCTCGCGAGAAATATACCTCAGGGAATCAATCAAATAGGCAGGAGCCAAGCTCCCGGCGTCCTCCGCATTTAGGGTCCAACGTTCCAACTGCATATCGACAGGCGGCACCCGGCCAAGACATACCGCATTGGGAAAAAAGCCTTCTCCTCGCTTGCGACGGCCCGTAAAAGCATAAATCAGGCTCGGCATTGATTGGACTGTCATTGAAGGTGCCTGTGATCCCTGCCTGTTCGGAAAGATATTCATACGGATGTCGACTGACATTGAATTCCCCAGTGGGAGCCGAGAAAGCTCACCACTTTAGGCCACTACAAGTCTCCAAAAGCGAATGAGTTTTTTTTTATTCTATTTTTTTACATATATAGTTGTGCAGTAGTGTAATCTACAAGTTGAGAGTTGTTCAATATCTTGATCTAAGCCAGCATTTCTCGGCAGCCTAGAGGAGTTGAATTAAAGCCCTTGTGACTCTGGATACCATGTTCTGATGACAGGGCTCTGAGATATTTTCTTGCCACACTCTCACGGACGATACTGTGCCTCAGACCTACACTGCATGATGGGTCAGCTGCTGGTGTTGCGAGAAATTAATCGTGCTGTGCCTCAGCTTCATTGAGTCGAAGCCTGGTCCGGGCCGTCTGGGCCCACGGAAGATGAGCATTCTGAATGGTGTTCGTGTCTGACAGACGACTGGGTTCTTTTCTGAGAGATTTCTTCATTCAGAGATAGGAGAGAGAGTGAGGGAAGTAGGGTAGTCGAAATGGAGCAAAACTGAGATATAAATGCTATTGAAGCCGTCACGTTCTTGATGCAATTCTCCAGCAAACCTTTCTTCTGGATTCATTGTTTAAACATTCCGGCATTTTACACTGTGTCTTGAAGCTATGAAACTCAACGTCCTTCTTTTAGCCGTTGCTGGCGCAGTCCGTGTCCAGAGTGCTGCAGTTTTCGCACATTTCATGGTCAGTCCACAGAACGAAATGCTATTCTTTGGCCGATGAACCTCTACTTACACTCTGCCAGGTGGGAAACACGGCCGAGTACACAGAAATCACCTGGCGTACGGACATAAGACTCGCCAAAGAAGCTCATATCGACGCCTTTGCCCTTAATATGGCCCATGGAGAGTCTATGAACGAGATTTCTCTTGAGCGCGCTTTCAATGTCGCCAAAGACGAAGGCTTCAAGCTTCTATTCTCTTTCGACTACGCTGGGCGAGGTCCTTGGCCGAAGGAGACAGTCATAAGCTATCTGAAGAAGTATACATCAAAAGCCGAGTACTTTAAGCACAGTGATGGAAGACCTTTGGTCTCTACCTTCGAGGGCCCTGGCAATGCAAAAGACTGGATCGACATCAAAAGCCAAGTCAGCTGCTTCTTCATACCTGACTGGTCGTCGGAAGGAGCAAAGCCAGCTCTGGCTCTCGGAAACAACGTCGCGGATGGCCTCTTCAACTGGGCTGCTTGGCCTTGGGGTCCTCGAGATATGGACACTTATGTCGATGCCTCGTACTTTCAGTACTTGGGCAAGAAGCCGTATATGATGCCTGTTTCGCCGTGGTTTTACACCAATATGCCCGGGTACAACAAGAACTGGATGTGGCGGGGTGACGACATATGGCATGACCGGTGGATTCAGGTCATTTACAACCAGCCTGAGTAAGTAGCAGTATAGTAGTGCTTCAAAAATGATATTATACTAACATACATCAAAGATACGTCCAAATCATCTCTTGGAACGACTATGGCGAATCTCATCACATTGGTCCTCTTTACAACCACGCTACGGAGGCGTTCACGGTTGGAAAAGCGCCATACAACTATGCCAACAACAGACCTCACGATGGCTGGCGTCAGACTCTACCTTTCTGGATTGACTACTACAAGACTGGCAAAGCTACTGTATCTCAAGAGAGTCTCGTTGTCTGGTACCGTACAAGTCCATCCAGCGCCTGCTCTGAGGGTGACACCGTCGGCAACACAGCAAGCCAACTTCAAATCGAGTTCCCTCCACAGCTTATCATGTTGGACAAGGTATTTTTCTCCGCAGTACTCGCATCGACAGCTGAGGTCACAGTCACAGTTGGTGGCAAGACTTTTACTCCGAAATGGTCTTCGGTTCCCGATGGAGGTGTTGGCGTCTATCATGGCAGCGTGGTCCTCCTTAGTGAGACCGGCGATGTGAACGTCCAGCTCTCCAGACCTGGGAGACTTCTAGCAAGAGTAGACGGACCTGCCTTCAGCTCTGCGAGCTGCGACAATGGGCGTACTAATTGGAACCCTTGGGTTGGAAGTGCCGTCGTGGCCGGCTCCGTCTCTGCGACCATGCCAAACTCGAGACAAGACCAAGGCTGTACGAAGGGAACTGGAGCCAAGGGCTTTGAAGAGCTGTGCGAGTTCAATTGCAAGTACAACTATTGCCCCGTGTCGTCCTGCTTGTGCCAGGCTGTGGGAGTGCCCAACACAAAGCCGCCAGCGCTCGAGAAAGACGGGTTCCCCGCCAAGGGGAAGAGCGAGAATTACTCCGGACTCTGCTCGAATGCCTGTAACCTGGGGTTCTGTCCAGAAGAGTTTTGTTCTGAGACTCCTCAGACGACTATCGTACCGACCGTCTCCGAGTTTCTTCCACCTGCCTGTAGGGCAGGCACCTCTCGAGCAGGTTATGAACGCTTTGAGGGACTTTGCTCCTACGCCTGCAACTTCGGCTTCTGTCCTCTGCACGTTTGCCGATGTACATTAGAGGGAGGCCTGATAGAGCCACCAGCGCAGATACCCGGTGCAACTGGCAAGCCTGTTGGGGATTTCAATGATGAGAAGCTGTGCGAGTTTGCCTGCTCTCGTACCTGGTGTCCTGATGTTTGCAAGTCAAATGACGATGAAGAAACGGAACCGCCAATCGACCCTGATGATACCTGCCAAGCGAGCGATAGAAGCTACAGCGAGCTCCCTATTGATCGGAACGGCGAGTACATGCGCTGGTTGTTGATGGAGCCTGAGAATGCAGCAGCGACGGGCAGACAATACATCACCATCGTCAATCTCACGCCGCACCCTTTCAAGCTCACTTCAACACACAGCTACCAGATGGACGAGTTCAACTGGGGCGATATTCCTCCAGGCAAGGCGCGTCAAAATGTCGCACACTACACTGGGAAAATTGGGGCCAACAATGTCGATGACAACGGAGAAGCGTACTTTGATGTCGGGAACACTGGCAAAAAGTTTGTCGTACGTGCCACAACTCATATACCCGATACCTATCCCAGGCGCGTCGTCTTTGACCTGAGCGGGATGGGCAAGGGCCAGCGCGAGTACAGGGTGCCGGGCCAGGAGGTACCTGTGACTCTTGTCATCACGGGGAGTGATTCCTTTGGGTTCATCACTTCACTATCACACGGACCGGGAAATTGGATGAACTCTATCAAGGATACGATCCGTGACCGGAAGGTGGCCAATGTGGTGATGCCAGGCACCCACGATGCGGGCATGAGCAAGTTAACAGATGCTCTCTTGTCGGGAGGAAGTGAGGGCAACACACAAACTCAGATGTTGAACATATATGATCAACTGCGAGCCGGATCTCGCTGGTTCGACTTGCGTGTTTCCAGCGTTCATCAAGTTGTCAACTGTTGTGGCAACTATGACTTCTGGACGATGCACGTGAGTAATGAGGTTGAGGAAGTCGTGATTGGAAGAACGGGAGAGAAGTTTGACGACGTCATCAAGGAGATTAATCGATTCACGAATGAGAATCCCGGCGAGGTTATCTTCTTGCAGTTTCGCTATCTGGTCGGTGTCCGCAATGTGCCGAGCCTTGGACCCATCTATTGGGATGAAGGTATCAAGAACAAGTTCTTTGACAAACTCAAAGAGATCAACAATCGGTGCCCGGGACTTGACAGTGGCTTGCAGAAGTCGAAGATTGGCGATTTGATGGACAAGAATGATAACAATGGTTGCGTGCTTATCTTCTTGAATACCCAACATCTGTCTAAGATCTCCGATAAAGGCAAGCATACTTCAGCTGACGATGGCATCTACAACATCGATTATATCGACTTGACTGATGCGTGGCCCGAAAAAGAAGACACGAAAGAGATGGCTGAATGGGCAATAAAGAAATGGACAGATAAGACTGAGGGCAACTTCTACATCGCCCAGTGGCTCAGTACACCGCATTTCTTGACTTCGACGTTTTCATACGGCCTCCAGTCAATCGCCGTTCTGCCTACCAATCCAGCACTCTACTGGAGGGGCGTGAATGAGATCTCGGACAAAATTTTCCCCAACGTCATCTTGGTGGACTACATTGGCATGGTGATCATGAATGAGCCTGGATGGGATTCGTTGAGTGCTGAGTTGTATACTTTGGCGATCGGTCTCAACTTATACACAATCAGCGAAAACTGCGACATCAGCAAGAGAAGGTCTCCTTTGCTCCCAAGTCCGAAGAATTTGAGGAAGCCTCCGAGCCCCCTAGTATCGCAATTCAACGGCATCATTTTTGCAAATGGGACGACTATTGTCGATCCGCCGCTTGGCCTTCATCCGGGTCGCGTCGAGGTTTTGAAGAACGGGACGGTTTTCAGCAACGGCACAGTCCTGGAGGAGAGTGTGCCCAACCCGGACTTCAACTCTACTTTGTTTTGAGGCTACACAGCCGTCTATTGAACAGTTCGCGGGTATATATCTACTAGTTTAGTGGTCAGCTTGGTGGAGTTTCTACTTGATTGATGGACAACTCTTTGAAGTCATAGTCCAATGCGCGAAGTAAGCGTGTCATAAAATTGTGTGGAATTGAGAAAAGTCGCATTGGGGTCGTAGTGCAGTCCGATATTAATATGTACATACAAAACCCCGCTAGTCCCCAACCTGCCCTCTTTGGCCAGGCCCATGTCTTTTCTTGCCCTTTAGGGCCTCGCTCGTATTTGCTTTGCCTCCTTGGCGCATAACTGTGAAGGACTTGAAAGTGTATAAGAGACAAAGCCCAAGCACATTCCCAGACCCGAAATTTCTTCGGTAGTTCCAACCAAACCTCTTTCAATCTAGTTGCGTCTCCGGCGCGCTGTAGAGATAGTCATGTCTTCCAACATCACAAAATCCATTTTTGCCACAACCACTGAAAAACTCGCCATAACCACGCCTTTCGTGCAGCCGCCAGACTGTTCGAACATATGGACTATGACAGAAATGCCGCACCTACCTCTCACTTCGATCTCCAGCGGCGAAGTATACCACACCGTCATGTCAGAGGTCTCTGTCTCTGCTCCCCCGTCATCATGCTATCCCTCTGGATGGGACCGTGTCGAGATGACAAGCCGGCTCAATTTTAGCCCGGGCGTGTGCCCCGAGGATTGGACGTATTATAGCATGGCCCACACACATACCGAGGGCCCTACATCAGCTTACTGCTGCAATAGGTTTGTTTGCACTATTTTCTTCATCACCCCATCCGTTGCTTGTTGTGTCTATGACTTGACCGCTGACCAGAAGTGGAGTGGGTTCAATTACACATGGGTCAATGGGCGGGCCTGCGCCGCATGGGGTCCCAGGACAGAAGCCCTTCCCAACCCCGAGGACGCGAAATCGGACCAAGTGCTCATGATACATACACCCTGGACCGTGACTTGGGATGCATCTGACATTGCGGCCTTGACGCCAAAGCTACCGACATTGGCTAGCCTGATGATAGTGCCGACGTGGACAACTGGGCAAACGATCCCGGATGGGGTTTATGACTTTAAACCGCCGAGACTTGAGAGTGGCCCTGACTTTACAAAAGATAGTCTTTTCATGTTCCTAGTTGTTGGATGTCCTGTAATACTGTTCGTGTTGATCTGCTCATGCGTGTTTTGCTGCGTAAGGAGCTGCAGGAAGAAGAGGCGGCAAAAAAAGGCTGCGATTGTTGCGGCAACGAACGACGCACCTACCTCACCACCCAAGTGAGAGCTGAGCCTCGAAATGGAGAATTGCTTTATGACGGACTCTTGGTGTGGAACCTTGTCCTGTAAATACTTCTGTGAACAAATCCTGAGCTCTTTGACTACGTGTTGCTGGATTTGATATAACCTCGGTAGGCTTCGCTGTTTCAAGACGCAATTCAACTGAGCATCTCTGATAACCATACTGCAGAACTGTTCATGGGATTAGTGCCAACACGTTGCGAACATGATGACGTTGATCGCGTGTAGGAAACAATTCGTTTTCCCGTGACACAATGTGTTTTGCTGGAGAAAAGGGGCTCACTCTTACTTCCCATGCTTCGCACGAGCCTGCAGCCAGTCGCCTTGGAGTCGTGGTATAACGCCGGGCTGTACATGAGGTTGAAACAGTCAAAGCATGTAGTTGTCTTGGATTTATTGAAAGAATATGAATCACTGGGAAACGAAAAATAGTCGTGTGATTGCTCTCAAAGCGATTTTGTCTCGTAGGCAAGATCTTATGAAGTTGATGGCGAGCTATGGAATATCGGTATATAAGGAGCTTTGACTAATATCGCTGTTGCCTCATCCACAATACGGCCGAATTTACTGTTACGAATCTGCTCATCGAGAGAAGGGACGCGACGTTGATTGAGGTTCGGAGAGGAAAAGCCTAAGTACACAACCACAGCTAATTAGCGCATGTGCACTTGAGCAATAACAGATGCGCTGCATGCCATTGGCTCATTACTCTTCTGAATGCATTTGGAACATGGGAACTCGCTTGAGTGAAGATGAAATGCAACTTCACTTGGAGTGGAGTGCGGTCTGAGAAGAAGCTGCCCTGGGTAATGCAGTGTGACGTGGCTTCCGGTTAGTAGAGGCTAAGTCTCTCTCACATTCGTCCACGAAGTAGCTACTCACTATCTAACACATTTCGGCAGCCCCCTGACCAATTGATGATGCTGCGATTGTAAACCAATTCAAGGCAACTGCTCATTAGTATGTTCCTTGCCGGCTGAAACTGGATTGCAAGCTGTCAAGCTGAGGTCACATACAGGAAAAGCATTGAGAAAGTTCAGTTGCTTTTGATCCAGCTAAGATTGGGAGGTTTCACTTCATCTGCTCGGCCCAGCGCAATTTTATAACCAACGCAGGCGAGAACGCTGACTTCTGCACAACTAGGGCGCAGCTAGAAACTGAACTTGGCACCAGGCAACGTTGAACGGAGTGATTCGATCTTCTCCCAGTAAAAACGGGTCTTTGTCTCGCAGTATATGTGAGTAGCCGGACAACAAGCTGTTGGAACCATTGGAATTGGAGTCTAGACAGGCGAGGCCTCAAATTAGACCCAACCAACAAGCCCAACGGGGGCCCGATCACATCTGGCAGAAATTTCTCATGATCCGTCGAGAACCTTGCAGATTCGAGCATTCTGCTTGGTCCGTCGGCTGTCTTGTCTTTTCTGGTAACACTTTCCTGCCGCAGGCCACGCTTGGCTGTCACTGAGGCACATACCATCGAGAGTAGGGCCCATTGGGTCGATCAGACACCATTCCTCCAACAACAACTCTTCAGTCTAGCTGTCAGCTTCGCAATTGTCTTCTGCTCGTTCTATATACACCCCGAGCAGGCTCTCGTTGCTCCGTCGCGATGAGGGCCACGACATTTGTCCTCGCGGCAGTGATTCGCTTCGCATACGCTCAAGACATAGACGACATTCCTGAATGTGCTCAGGATTGCCTGGGCGAGAGCCCTACGGAAAACTGCCACGTATTGAGAAAACCCGATTGTGCTTGCCGTCTTGGAACGAGCGATCTCTTTCGTGCCCAATGGGCCGCCTGCATAAAGAGATTTTGCAGGTACCAAGAAAAAACATTTCAAGGTATGCTTCTCTTGATCTCACAATAAGAAAAGCTTTTCCGTCTTTCACTCCCTTTGACTTTTCAGCCCTGTGTTGACGCTAAGTTTAAGATGTGTGGCCCCCCTTTGCGGCCTACTGCGTCGCCAATGGCTGGCTCAATACTTTCCAGACGGATGTGATCTCTACAGCGACATTGACAGAAACACAACCCAGTATCATCACCATTACTAAGTCCGCCACGTACGACGTCGGTGACAAATATACTACCGTGGATATCGAGACATCCACATCAAGGATAGAGTCTGGTTTGACCGCATCACAAGCCACAACACCGACGGCGCAATCTACAGCCTCTATACCCGAATCTACTCCGACCGCCGAGCCTACGTCTACGATTGATGGTGGCAATAGCGAATCCTCCTCCGATAGATTATCGACGGGAGTGAAAGCTGGTATTGGAGCTGGAGCTGCCCTCGTGGCAATGCTGGCTGTGGTTCTACTCTTTTGGTGGCGAAAGAGGAAGAAGGCCAGCCAGGGTGACGGTAACGAAGATATCACACCAGAGCTCAGCGGCGGGGACAAATCCAACAGATATGAATTGGATTCATACACGGCACCATTGGAAGCCGACAAGAAGAGCCCTGCAATATTCTCAAATCAACAGAATCAGATGATGGCCGAGCTGGACGGAACTCCGTGCGCATCGCCTGAGCCCAACATTCACGAAAGGCACGAGGTCACGCCTTCAGTTGAGCAGCACACGGTATCACCGGAGGTCGTGTCCACGATTTCGCCCCCAAAGTCGACCCTGTCATCTGCACCAAGTAGGTTGTCACCGACTATGATTGGAAATCGTATTGATTCCCTGCCAGAGCCCCTAATTGCTGATATGGCTGAGCTGGAACACCTACTACATGAGGAGCGGCTCTTGAGAGACAGGAGACAGACGTTGGAGCAGTTGCAACGGATACAAGCGGACGAACTTGCTTTGGGGGAGCGAATCAGGACTCTGCGGCAAAGTCGCAGCTAGGGATAAGCATCCAAGCACGCTGCTTCACGAGGCTCCCATAGTAATCCTTCATCAGCGTCGCCTGTCGTACGAATCTTGAACAGAAGAGGCTCAGGATTTATGGCGGCTATGATTGATTGAAGGCATACAGAAGTAAAAATATCAACTCTTCCAACAATGTAGGTATACAATTGAAAATCAGCCCCAGTGGAGACGTTTGGCAGAATTTCGGCTGAAGTCAATGTTATTCTTTTCTGTTTCCGCACAGATACATGCATCGAAGCACGATGACGTCGCTCGATACTCCCAACCCACCGGACCACAGATACCTAAAATAGTCAGTTATCATTATGGCTGAATAGCACCGAGGTCAAATCTCGAATGAGGGGAACCTTCGAACCGACGATATGCGGAAAAGTGTTTCCGACCCGTCTGAACTCCTATCCCACTACACACCATCTTGGAGGTACAACTTCCCTCTCGCCTAATTTTTCTTGGCATCTGCTGTTAGTGAATGAGTGAGCCTACCACCAAATTACTAACAGCCGAAAACTCTTCACCTCCCCTTGCCGGAGCCCGCATCCGCGATGGCCTCACAGCCGCCGTCGGGCACCGGACTGATGTCGGCCGACCAAGCCGACCCCGAACCAGGCTCCGGGACACCTCCGGAGCCGAACCCCACCTCAAGAGCTAAGCGACGCCGCGACGCCGAGGCACAGCCGACCCGGCCCAGCCTAACGGGAAGCCAGCTTGATGCCACCACCGACGCCCCTACCTCGGCCGAGGGGCCCGCAGCCTCTACCGCATCTGCTCCGAGCGGATCTGCCACAGGGTCCGTCTTGACAGCCCTTGCAGAAGAAGCTAGACAGTACGAGGCACGGAAAGACGTCTTTCTGACCATTGCACGGTCCGTCGACAGCGTTGTCGCCAGCTTTGACGGTTCTAGAAAGCAGATCGCGAAAGAAGCCACTG